AACCCTAAACCCTGAATACGAACCCAAGCCCAACCCACTTCGAGGGACTTCCAGAAAGCCCCTTTCCCAGCATGCCTGTTGTGCAGGTCCCCTTGCTTTGAAGCCAGTGACACCTGAAAGTTTCGGGCTTGCGGGGGCGTAATCCGTCAGGACAGCGACTCCATAGCGAACCCAATACCCCTCCACACGTTGCCACGATTGAGTTGTGTAAAGGCAACCTAATTTGTCAGTACTGGCTTCGTCGGGAACAAGAGAGGCGCAAAACCACATTTTGAAGCTACCAAACATTGCATGCAGCAAAATTCGGACTTCGATGCGGGTAGTTATCTAAATTAGGGTCCCCTTTTTAGGCCCCCAACATGGTACGGCATAATTCTAAAGAGGACCCCAAAAAGGGACCCTAATTTTGAGAACTACACATTTAGGGCTCATCATTGTGCAAACTCAAGGGAAGGACTGACCTTAAACTCGCACGTCACCCGAGCCATGAAGCAGGGTTTAGGGTTTAGGGTTTAGAGTTTAGGGTTTAGCGTTTAGGGTTTAGCATTTAGGGTTTAGGGTTTAGGGCGTGAGAAGGGGTCCGAGGTGCTGAAGGGCGCCATCGGGCTGGACATGTCCTCACCGGCAACGGTCTGCATGTAGGGCTTAGGGATTCAAGTTTGAAGCCTGCTTTATTGAAGTGGATCTATTTATGGTGCCCTAAACCCTAAACCCTAAACCCTAAACCCTAAACCCCTAGACCCTAAACCCGTTGCATACAAAGTCGGCTGAACTTAACTTCGGAGTTCAGTTGATGGCAAAGGGTTTAGGCATTTAAGGGTTTGGCTTAGGAGAAGCTGCCGGCCCTCAACCCTAATGTAGGAGCCTAAATAATTGCCTATACTATTTTGCGGGGGCTTCCTTACTACAATTGTAGTAAAATATACCCCAAAACCCAGTCTAATTATTAAAGCCCCTACATTGTAGAACCCTATTATACATCCCTTATAGAACCCTTTTCAGGATCCCTTTAAAGGAACCCTTACTCTAACTATTAAGGCCCCTATCTTAAACGCCTAAACCCGAAGGAAGTCTTGCAAGCCCTGTCCAAAGCGAAGCCGTAGATTTCGTCTCCCACCTGCAAGGCACGTGGAAAAGGGAAGCTTCGAAGGCTTCTTTTAAAAGTAATGTGTTTAGGGTTTAGGGTTTAGGGCTTAGGGTTTAGGGTTTAGGGTTTAGGGTTTGGGTTTTAGGGTTTAGGGGTTTAGGGGTTTAGGGTTTAGGGGCTTAGGGGTTTAGGGAGAGGACTTAAGGGATGAATAAAGTTTTGTAAGGGTTCCATAAAGGTTCCATACAAGGCTCTACAGGGATTCTATACAGCTTGTATAGGGGGGGAAGTCAGTAGATGATGATATGGAGGTGCATGGTGTACGATGACGATGCATGGAGTATTTACACGAACAACACAGCTGCTGAACTCAAGCAGTAATGTAGCGGCCATAATAATTGGAATAGGGTTTTGGGGGTTCCTGATTATAACTTACAGTATAATATACCCCAAACCCTGTTCTAATTATTAAGGCCCCCATATTACTCTAATTATGGAGCGGTTGATGGCACACGGATGGGTTTAGACGGGGCTCTATCACAGTGCCGTTGGAGGGCCAACAGGGTTTCATATGTTTAGGGGTTTAGGGTTTAGGGTTTCGGGTTTAGTGGTTTGGGGTTTAGGGTTATACTAGAAGCTGATGCGCTAAATTGTGCAGGTCGTAACTTTCTGAGAACCGTGGGCGACATCACCGCAGATAAGCCATGTACATCTACCTCTTCTTGTCCCGGCATGTCCACAGATGTGAACTAGACATAGCTAGTACTACGGTTGATGACATAGGTCCTGCATGACCATAAGTAGGAATATACCATAATCCCCATAGCTTAGGGTCCTTAAGGTAATACTGGATAAACCCTAAAACCCTAAAACACTAAAACCCTAAACCCTAAACCCTAAACCCTAAACCCTAAACCCATAGCTTAGGGTCCTTACGGTAATGCAGGATTTACATCATCAACAGTATTGATGTCAAGCCGGAGATGCCTTTGACTTTGGCAGCTCACTTCTTGAAGCCTAGGGCTGAAAGTTTAGGATTGAGGGTTTAGGGTTT